CAACAATTATATCATAGTAACATCAACCGCAATAGTATTAATAACGATCAATGTAAGTAAGAAACTATAAATAACAATACTCAGTAATCACAACAACAACAACAACAATGACATGAATAATAATAAAAAAAAACAATGTTAAATCCACCGGAAAAAAATACATTTATATGAACACCTGCTCCGGAAGGCTCCGTCGGTGCACAGAAAACACTCGCTTTACTATGTACACAAGAGTGGACTACATCAATACTTGTTTATTAGATACACTTTATAAAGAAGAATTATCTTTTTTTGTCTTTGTTTCAGCCATCCGCAGCCAAGACATGGCGTGGATCAATCAGCCTTCTTCGGAAAATGGGTTCGTCTGTTATATTTTTTCCCCATTTTTTTCCGGCCACATGTAACAGCAACAACGGACTCGAGATGCAACAGTACGTAAACACACACAAATACACTTACACGTTTACACTTGCACTCACATTTACGCACACACACATATACACATACGCTCACCCACTTTCACTCACTCTTTCTCTCTCTCTCACACACACACACAGAAAATCCATATACAAAACAGGGTTATTTCATTACCAGGTCTAAATGGAATTTGAAATACCTCTTTCCACAAACCTCTCTTGTGTACAGCGTCTTTATTCCACTCCACCAAACACGGAAAATTGTTGTATTAAAATGACTCTGTGCCCCAGTCTCCCTTTACCCCCCTCCACCCCCCCCCCATCCTCCTACACGCACAAACTCACACACGCAAATACACACGATGCCAAGAAATAAAATAAAATGAAAAAAAAAAAAAAACTCATAGAGGATACACACCAAACACAAACACAAACAAACCCAGGCACGCACACACACACACACACGCACAAGCAATTCTCGAAAGGAAAACATTCATGTCAAAAGCAGGCTCGTGTCAATAAAATCAGAGGTCAAGTCTTGGGGTCAAAGAGAGAGAGAGAAAACAGACAGAAGGAAAGAAAGAAAAACAGAAATATAACGAAGGAAAGAAAAAGAAAACGGGGAACAGAAAGAAAGAAAAACTGAAAATAGAAAGAAGGAAAGAAAGAAAAAAAGGGAAAACAGAAAGAAAGGGAAAGAAAAACGGAAATTAAAAGAAAAACAGAAAACAGAAAGAAAGAAGGAAAGAAAAATGGAAATTAAAAGAAAAACAGAAAACAGAAAGAAAGGAAAGAAAAACGGAAATTAAAAGAAAAACAGAAAACAGAAAGAAGGAAAGAAAAAAAGAAAAACGGAAAACAGAAAGAAAGAAAGAAAAAATGAAAAACGGAAAACAGAAAGAAGGAGAGAAAGAAAGAGAAACGGAAAATAAATAAATAAGAAGATGAAGGAAAGTGCACAAAAATACAGCGAGAGGCGGGGTAGGAGAGGGAGAGAAACGGGCAAAAAAAGAGAAGGGAATAGAGAAACAAAGCAAAGACAGAGAGAAGGAAAGGAGAGAGAGAAAGGGAGGAGAGAGAGAAGGAGAAGAGAGAGAGAAGGAGAAGAGAAAGCGAAGGAGAAGAGAAGAGAAGGAGAGAGAAAGAAGGAGAAGAGAGAGAGAAGAAGAGGAGAGAGCGAGTCAAGGTCACGGGTCCCCCCGATTCAAGAAGCGAACAGCTGGCCAGTCCCCCTCGTTAGCAACCAAGTCACACACAAACCAAGAGTAAATTTAGACCTTCGACAACTCGTCGGGTCCTCGCCAAGAGACAAAGTCCGCTGCATTTTGCCAGCTGCCAAGGAACCCGAGCGGCGAGGGGAAGCCTCCGAGGGCGCAGCGGCGAATCAGCCTCGAGGCGGAATGACTTTGCTGCAGCGGCCGTTCCAGCTGAGCTCGACGCCACGATACCCTTCTTCATAGAGGAAGGGGGGGGGGTGAATACATACATACATACCTATATACATACATACAAACATAAAGACATAAATACGTAATTCATACACACACAAATATATATATATATATATATATATATATATATATATATATATATATATATATATATATATATATATATATATATATATATATATATATATATATGCATATATACATATGTATATATATATATATATGTATATATATATATATATATATATATATATATATATATATATATATATATATATATATATATATATATATATATATATATATATATATAATTATATAATATATATATATATATATATATATATATATATATATACATATATACACACACACACATACACATATATATACATATTAATATATATATATATATATATATATATTATTATATATATAATATATAATATATATATATATATACATAAATATATACATATTATACATACTTACATACATACATAGATAAACATAAATACATACTTAACATACACACACATACACATGCATACGCTTACGCACACGCTCACGCTCACGCACCGCACACACATACACACACACACACACACACACACACACACACACACACACACACACACACACATATATACACACATATACATATACATACATACATATATCACACACGTATATACATAAACATCAAACAGACAGCTGAATAACCGTTGCGACACAAAACCTCCGCCGGCCCGAGCACGAAGCCCGGAGCGAGTGCGGGGCGCTGCGAGACGGCGGATTCTGTGATCTCGAGGCGAAGGGGGGGAAGAGAAGAACAGGAGGAGGAGGAGGAGGAGGGAGGAGGAGGAGGAGGAGGAGGAGGAGGAGGAGGAGGGGAGGAGGAGGAGGAGGAGGAGGAGGAGGAGGAGGAGGAGGAGGAGGAGGAGGAGGAGGAGGAGGAGGGAGGAGGAGGAGGAGGAGGAGGGAGGAGGAGAGGAGGAGGAGGAGGAGAGAGGAGGAGGAGGAGGAGGAGGAGGAGGAGGAGGAGGAGGAGGAGGAGGAGGAGGAGGAGGAGGAGGAGGAGGGGAGGAGAGGAGGAGGGAGGAGGAGGGAGGAGGAGGAGGAGGAGGAGGAGGAGGAGGAGGAGGAGGAGGAGGAGGAGGAGGAGGAGAGGAGGAGGAGGAGGGAGGAGGAGGAGGAGGAGGAGGAGGGGAGGAGAGAGAGGAGGAGGAGGAGGAGGAGAGGAGGAGGAGGAGGAGGAGGGGAGGAGAGGAGAGAGGAGGAGGAGGAGGAGGAGGGGAGGAGGAGGAGAGAGGAGGAGGAGGGGAGGAGGAGGAGGAGGGGAGAGGAGGAGGAGGAGAGGAGGGAGGAGGAGGTGGAGGAGGAGGAGGAGGAGAGAGGAGGAGGAGGCAGAGGAGAGAGGGGAGGGAGGAGGAGGAGGAGGAGGGGAGGAGGAGGAGGAGGAGGGGACGAGGCGAGGAGAAGAAGAAAAAGAAAGGAAGAGCGAGTAGAGAAGGACAAGAAAAGACTCAGAAACCGAGAGAGAAAAAAGAGATATAAAAAGGAAAGCAAATAACAACAAAAAAAACACGCCAAGAAAAAAAAAACACCAATACAAAAAAAAAAAACAGATAACAACAACAAAACGAAAAGAAAACAACTCGAGAAAAAACACACCACAGCCAACAAAGCACACCAAGAAAAAAAAGAAAAGAGACAGCCGATCCGAACCGATCCACGCCGTGCCGCCCCAGCTGCCGCCGCCCGCCGCCGCCGCTGGCCGCCCCTGCCACGAGGAGAGCGCGGCTCGAAGCTGCGCGCGCGAGGGAGCGACGCAGCGCCACCTTCCTGTCGGGGCCTGGGGGGGGGGGATGCGAATGGGTGGGGCGGGGGAAGGGGGAAAAAAAAGGGAAAAGGGGGGGGAAAAAGGGGGGGGGAAGGGGAAGGGGGAAAGGGGGGGGGAAGGGGGGGGGAGGAAAGGGGGGAAAGGGGGAAAAAGGGAAGGGGGGACGAAGGGAAAAGGGAAAGGGGACGGTGGGTGGGGGGAAGGGGTGAAGAGGGGGAGGGGTATGGGCGGAGGGAAGAGGGGAAGGGGTAGGAGAGGAGGGGAGGGGAGAGGAGGTGGAGTGGGTATGAGGGGAGTTGGTACGAGGGAGGGGAAGGGCAGGGGGACGGGGTTTGTGACACGGAAGGGGGAGGGGGAGGGCGGGGGTATGAACATATGGGGTATGGGGCAGAGGGGTCAGGGAATGAGGGGAATGGGCAGGGGGCGGAGGTGTGGGGTATGGGCAGAAGGGAAAGAGAAGAGGGGAGGAACGTAAGGGGAACCAGGGGGCAGGAGGGGCAGGGGGCCAGGGGAAAGAGGTATCAGGGAGGGGGGGGCAGAGAGGGTTGGGGAAATAGCAGTCAGAGGGCATGGGGGAAAGGAGGTGAAGGAGACATGGAAAGGGCAAGGGTAGAAAGGCAAGGGAGGGAGGGGCAGGAGGAAAGTAAGAGGGCAGAAGGAAGGGAGGAGCGAGACAATATGAAGAGAGAGAGACGTAGGGGGGGAAGAGGAAAGGGGAAAGGGGAGGGCATTGGTTTGGGGGATAATGGGGATAAGGGCAGAGAAAGGAAAGGGATGGGCAAGAAGGGAAAGGGAAAGGGAGAGACATGGGGCAAGGGGCAAGAGGGTAAAGCGAAAGGGAGAGACATGGGGCAAAAGGGTAAAGGTAAAGAGAGGGGCAAGAAGCAAAGGGCAAGAAGGGAAAGCGAAAGGGAGGGGCATGGGGCAAGGGTAGAAAGGGCAGAGGCGGTGTGGGCAGAGGTGGAGGTTAATCACTTGTATAAAACTCGATGCTGTCACTCAGCGCTCAATCATTTCTTACAAAATGCACTTTCAAAATTCAAATTAATTCATATTTACGGCTTGTTAAGCACCTCCCTTGATGACAATAATAATAATAATCACAATAATAGTAAGAATAACAATACAAACAATGAGAATAATAATAATGATAATAATAATTACAATATCAATAATGATAACAAATAATGATAAAAGATAATAATAATGATGGTGATGATAATGATTGCGATGATATTAATAATACTAGTTATAAAAAAGAAAAATAATTACAACCACAACAACAACTAATAATGATCAAACTAATTATCATTATCATAAACAATAATAATAACAATAATAATAATAACAATAATAATAATAACAATGGAAATATTGATGATAACAACAATAATAATAATGGTGATGATATAATATCAAATACAGATAATAATTATTATAATAACGATACTAATACTACTAATAATAACAATAGTAATAAATAATAACAACAACAATAAAAATACTACTAATCATGATAATAATTGATAATATCTACAAAACACAAACACAACTAATAATATTCATAATGAAAATAACAATATTCATAAAATAAGTAATAATAACGATAATAACAGTAATGATGATGATGATGATGATAACAGTAATAAAATAACAAAATGACAACAACTATAATAATAATAACAATAACAATAATGATTAATGATACTAACAATAACAATATCAACAATAATTATAATGACAACAAAAACAATAGCCATAATAATATTAACAACAATAATAACAACAATAACAACAACAACATAAATAACAACAGCCATCAAAACTGAAGTGTAAATAAAAGAAATCGAATTATCAATCTTATCTCTTACATCACATCAACTAGAAAGAAAAATACGTTTGTCTTATATCATACACAAAAAACAAGTAAAATGCGAAATAATTACATTTATAGAGAGGTGCATATGAAAGTCAATAAGGTGGCAAAACATTTTTTTTTTTTGGCCTGTGTCACTGTTCCCTCTTTTATTACTTTTATTTCCCATTTATCCGAATTTATCACTTGTTTCCTACGACCCCTGGAGTCGTCTTCCACCTAACTGCATTATCATTGGAGAAACTATGAAGATAGAAAGTGCAAGCATGAATATATATGAATACTGATCAAACAAACTAAATCTCTCTCTCTCTCTCTCTCACACACACACACACACACACACACACACACACACACACACTCACACACTCTCTCTCTCTCTCACACACTCTCACACTCTCACACACACACACACACACACACACACACACACACACACACACACACACACACACACTCACTCACTCACTCACTCACTCACTCACTCACTCACTCACTCACTCACTCACTCACTCACTCACTCACTCACTCACTCACTCACTCACTCACTCACTCACTCACTCACTCACTCACTCTCTAGTTATGTTGTTATTCTATCTATATATATCCCCCTCTCTCTCTCTCACTCACACACCTTCTCAATATTGTCAGAAGTATCAGTAGTACGAATAGTGGCATCATTTTTATATTAGTATTATCATCATTATTTGGTACATTATTTGCTACCTATACACACGTGCGTGTACCCTTATGCACATGTGTGAGTATGCGCGCGAATGCTTGTGTCAAGATAATCATTTTTTATTAATAACTTATCTATTATTAAAGACTTACTAAAATCATCGTCATTCCACTGGGCAATGTTCATCGTCATTAAATCAATCACTATTATAGCTGTTATAAATTCTAGAGTATTCACCATTGCCGTCACTACAATTATCACTATTTTATATACCATTGATGAAAATAACAGGATTATCATAATTTAAACCACTAATGGTAATGAGAATATTGAGAGTAATGGTAATAAGGATGATAATGAAAACAATAATACTAATAAAGATGATTATGATAATAATAATAATAATAACAATAATAATGAAAAAAATAAATAATAACAACAACAACAATAATAATAATGATCATGATGATAATGATAATGATAATGATAATAATAATAACAATCACAATAATGATGATAATAATAATACATAATAATAATTAAAAAATATATATGACAATGATGGTAATACCAACAATAACAACAACAATAATAACAGCAATAACTTATAATACTATCAACAGCAGGAAAACAACTTCTAATAATAAAGGACAAAAATTAAAACAATAATAGAAATAATAACATCAATAAAAATAATAACAGTAACTATAACATCAATAATAATAATAACAACAGTAATACCAACAATACCATGATTAATCATGGGAATAATAATAATAATGAAAATGAAAATGATTATGAAAATAACATGAATAATAATAACAAGAACAATTATGGTAACAACACCACCAATAATAATAATATCAATAATATAATAATAAATAATAAATAATAATAATAATAATAATAATAATGTTAATACCAGCAATGATAATAACAACAATAATAGTAATAATAATAATAATAATAATAATAATAATAATAATAATAATAATAATAATAATAATAATAATAATAAAAAAAGCACTAACTACAACAACACCGACCCCAACGAAACGGCTCCCGGCCCGCCCCTGCTTGGGCGCGCAGCCACTCACCTGACGAAGCGCGGGACCCCGGCGGCTGACCCCCGAGCGCGCTGCCGTTGGGGCCTCGCCGAACGCCCCGCCCGCTCCTCCGGCTCCTCCGCCCGCAGCGCCCCCGCCGAGGGCACCGCCGCCGCCGCCCATGTTCTGATGCGACACTCCACCATGTGCCGCGAGGCTTTCCTGGGGGACGAGAGGCGTCAGTAGGCCAGGTCACGGAATAGGGGAGGGGGGGGAAGGAATAGAAGAGGGAATAGGGGAGAAGGGAGGAATAGAAGAGGGAGGGGAATAGGAGAGAGGAGGAAATTGGGGGAGAGAGAAGAGGGGGAATAGGGGAGGGGGAATAGGGAGGAGAGAATAGAGAGGGGGAGGGAGAGGGGGGGGAGGGAGGAAAGGGAGGAGGAGAGAGAGAGGGAAGGGATGGGGAGGAGGAGGAGGGAATTTGGAAGGAGGAAGAGGGAGGGGGAATAGGGGAGGAGGGAATAGGGAGGGGAATATGGAGGAGGAGGGAGAGAGGGAGATAGGAGAGGGATAGAAGAGGGGGAATATGGAGGAGGAGGAATAAGGGGAGGGAGAATAGGGGAGGGGAATTGGGGAGAGGGAATTGGGTGAGGGGTAATAGGTGGAGAGGAAACAGGAGAGGGGAATAGGGGCAGAGGAAACAGAGAGGGGGAATAGGGCAGAGGGGAGAGGAATAGGGGAGAAAGAATAGAGAGGGGAGAGTGGAGTGAGGAAAGTAGGGGGAGAGGGAGGGGGGAGAATAAAGTCGGGAAGGCTGTAGCGGAAGGGAGGGAAGGCGAGGAGAGAAACGAAGAAAAAGAAGGAGGAAGGGAGAGAGGAAGGAAGGGAGATAGGCGGAGACAAAGGGAAGGGTACGACATTTTCCCTCGAATTTCTCTCCCTTCGCCTCCCTCTCCCCCCATCGCCTCCCCTGCCTTTCAATTTCCGGTTTCTTGGCCTCTATGTGCAAACGGGGGCAAGGAAGGGGGGGGGCGAAGAAGAGGAGGCAGACATGGGGAACAAAGGAGAAGGACAGAGAGGAAGGAAGAAGAGAAGGAGTAGATGGAGAATACATAACAAACGTAATAAACACTGATAATACACGGCGCCATCTTGCGGTCTTCCTAGCCAGAAATATCGGTCTCTTTCTCTGATTTTTTTTCTTCTTGACAACCTTCCTCCACCCCCCCCCCCCCCCCCCTCCCCGGAACCCACAGCGATACGCCCACTCTTGGTTTCCGCGGCGAAGGGGAAGCGGGGGGGGGGGAGGGAGAGAACGTAAGGCTTATTTCTTGTGTGTACATCAATAACCAGTAAATATCACACACACACACAATATATATATATATATTATATATATATATATATATATATATATATATATATATATATATATATATATAATATATATATATATATCTTGAAAGTGTGTGCTCGCAATCAATATACACCATATAGTGTATGTCGGAGTCCTCTGCAGCAAAAGTGTCCTCAAACTATACTAGCAATAAAATATACTATCAGCGTCTACACCTCTCCTACACCTCTAAACCTCCGTCTACACCATCTCCTACACCTCTAAACCTCCAGCGTCTACACCATCTCCTACACTCTAACCTCCAGCGTCTACACATCTCCTACACCTACACTATCCATACTACCTACCACACTGCACCTTCTACACCCGTTCCTAAGCGCACCCACGCCAGCTTCCCTCCTTCCCTCCCTCCTTCCTTCCTTCTTTTTCCCTCCCTGCGCGTGAAAGGAAGGGCCACAACCCGCGATGAAAGGGGGGCTCGGGCGCAGAGGAGGCAAAGCACCCCACGGCCTGAGCGGGGATTCCACCGGATTTGGCACCACTGGCATTTAGAGGCCATTCGCACGCCGCGCCGCCGCCTCGCCGGGGGAATGATGCCCGGGAAGGAACTTTCGCCGGGCTGGCAACGCGTCGAAGGAAATGGCTTTTTCAGGTGGGAATACGCCGTCGGGAAAGGGAAGGGGGAGGGGGGGGGGTTGGCAAGGGAGCGAAAAGTAAAAGAGGGAGAGGGGAAAGGGGAAGAGAGGCAGGGAACGAGCGAGGTGGGAGGGAAAAGGAAAAGAGAGTGGAAAAGAGAAAGAAACGAGAAGAAATGAGAAGAAAAGAAGTGGCAGAGAAAACTAAGCAGAGAGAATACAAAAAAGAGAAAATAGAAGAGAAAAAAGGAAAGAGAAAGAGAGGGAGAAGAGGAAACAGGAGGCGAGACGGGGGAGGCGTCCACTCACTCCTCCCAATCAACCTCCACAGAATTTCCTGAAATACTCAAATCGAGGATTTATCTTCAAGGAATCGCCGACAGCCTCAAGGAGTTCCTCTACAAGCTGCGTTCCGTCCTAATCACTTTCTTACTACAACAGTAACGTGTACACAAAAAAAAAATAAAAAAATAAAATAGAATGAAAACAGCCACAATAGGGACGGTCAACTAAACAAAAACGAAAGGCTTTTTTCGCGCACGCGCACAACACTGGCGAGCAAAAGATCAACAACGGCCGCTGAATCAGCTGTGAGAACGATGTCAACCTACTACAAATCTCTCGATTTAGTTGCTAAAAAACGGCATGATGAAAAGCTTTAGTACTCTAAAGGTACAGAAAGCTTACCAGATCCATTCTCTCTCTCTGATGGCTGGTCTGAAAGCCCCAATGGCTGGCCCATGTTCGTTTTGGTGATATTTATCTCTAGCTAATTGAAAGCCTACACATCACACGAAGTTTTCAAGTATTTTTCTTGTTTAAAAACAAAACAGAATAATGGAATTTGGTATTCAAAATAAGAAAAAATCAGAATGCAGCTATCTGTATTTGCTGGGCCATACTAATTGTTTGGTTGACCGACCTTTATACAAACACCTAGTGTTTACACATAAAAAGAATTAAAGGCCTACAAATCTCTGGAAGGGTACAAGTACTCAATACTGTTCATAATAAGACTGGTTCGTAGTCGTGGGATTAAATTCTCCTGAACGTGTGAAACTCTTTCTTGGTCGCTCTTTGCCTTTCGCGCCTGGTTTTTCGAAAAGTTACTCAAAACAGGGAGTTTATCAATATTATTCGGACGTTAATTAACACCCACGCACTACTCATCAAACCTTGAAATGATTTACGCAAATTTCCTGTTGCTGAGAGGGCAGTGTAGCAGTCATTAGATTTACTACCTTCATTTTGTTCCCATTTTCTTACGACCTTTCCTTTCCTCAAGGAAAGTTTTAATATAAAATTAACTGAAACTTAAAGTGAAAGAGGATACTCAAATAGTAACCAGTCACCAACATCTACCACTGCCTAGGCCTAAGCCTAATCACGGGGAAATAAATCCCCTAGAAGGAGTTATGACGATATAACATAACTGTTTGTTTTAGAATATCTTTATAGAATATCTTTATAGGTGCAGAATCAAAGTTCTTGCGACTAATAGCCAAAGCCTCCTTCTCTCGGGGTCTTTCGGAAAATAATTAAAACTCAAAGTTGAATCTTTTTGCTGTCCATTTGCACATCCAATAATATTGCAACTGTTTACTATGTCAAAGTTTCTTAGAAAAGGCTGAAGAAGGATGCGAATCTTACATAAATCGAGAAAAAGGGACTATGTTCGAGAGAGACCAATACTTAATAACGCAGTTCGTGAGATTTTGTTGTTTTTGCCCACCACTGCCTCCGATTGATCACGTGACAGCTCTAATGACGTCACGATGACCGTCCCTATAAGATATGAAAATAAACGTTTATTTTCATAACATGTCGAGTCTGTTTCCCTTTTTTCACTTTCTAATTTCCATTCATTTTCATACCCACACTCAAAGGTTATATCAAAATGCCATCAAGTGACACCGGCATGACCTTTGGGGGTCAACTTCAACGCGCTGCCTTAAGAACAAGAAATCAATAAGAGAAATACAAATGGAAAATGCAAAAAAAAAAAAAAAAAAAAATAAAAAAAATAATAAATAATAATAAATAATAATATAATAATAATATAAATAATAAAATCCTCATCTCACCTTATGAAATAGTCATGAACGAAATCCTGGTGCTCGTCCAGCCAGGCCTCCATGCGCGCGCACTCGGGGTCATAGTTGAGGAGGGGCGAGTGCGAGGCTCCGCCCCCCGCCCCGCCCACCGTCAGCTCTCCACCAATGGGCATGGCTCCTGGCACGGCACTCGGATCGCCAGCACTGCCATCTGACCCGCCCTGGCTGTTCTTGACCTCATCGCTGTGGCTGCCCCAACCTGTTCGAGGGAAAAAGAGGGAGAGTTAGTGAGGGCGTGTGAGGTTGTGAAGTTGTGAGATGGTGAGTGATAGTGAGCGATAGTGAGAGCAAAGTCTTCGGTGAGAGATGGTGAGAGAGATGAAGGGGTAGGCTGACGAATGAGAGAGTGAGAGACGAGTAAAGCAGTGAGTGAACAGCGTCCCTGATGCAGGCACAGCTGAGACTAACAATGACCCATTCTAAACATGTCGGTATAATCCCCCCCCCCCAAAAAAAAAAAAAACGCCAAACAAAGAACAAGGTGGAAAAATACAACCTTTTTGCTTCATGCCGACGTTAAATAATTTTCTCAGGCAAACAAGAACAAAAAAAGCTATCGCGGAATCCAAACAAAGGATTAGACTTTTTATGAAGAGAAGACAATAACCTCCAAACAAATATAAACTGTAGCGCACAAAGACAAAAATTAAAAATATTATTCACCCATTCCAACAATAAACATTTACATCGAAAGCAAACTCTGGGAATAAACAAAAACGCGGGAAAGCAATATACAAGACAAACACACAATAATTCAAACACACAAAGCCAGCATCCAACCAAGCAAACAAAATACGACAAAATAATGTGACCTCTGACCTATGTTGGAATGGACTCCCGTTCTCATGGGTCTACCTTGCGAAGACTCGCTCTTCAGTTTCCCGTATTCATTTTTATCTTTCTATCGACCGACCTACCTACCTACCTACCTACCTATATACTATATATATATATATATATATATATTATATATATATATTATATATTATATATATATATATACAGATCACACACACACAGAAATATATGCATAATATATATGTAATATACATATCTGTAATTATATATAATATATATATA